TTTTATAACTTTCCTCTTGAAGCAAACAGTATTTCAACTTAGGTCAATTTCTTATTATAGATTTCAAAAATTTACTACAACTTATCAGATCTGTAAAGGTTTGTTTGTTGTTTTGACAGAGTCTTTCTTGCCGTTATTATCAGACCTTTACAGGTCCGTTTCTTGTTCTAACAGAGTACTTTGTTGTCGATATTATCAAACCTGTAAAGGTCTGTTTGTTGTTTTGACAGAATGCTTTGTTGCCGTTATTACCAGACCTGTAAAGGTCTGTTTGTTGTTCTGACAGAGTACTTTGTTTTCGTTATTATCAGACCTGTAATGGCCTGTATGTTGTTCTAACAGAGTGTTTTGTTGCCATTATTATCAGACCTGTAAAGGTCTGTTTATTGTTCTGACAGAGTAATATTGTTTTCGTTATTACCACACCTGTAAAGGTCTGTTTATTGTTCTGAGAGTGTGTTTTGTTTTCGATATTATAAAACCTGTAAAGGCTTGTTTATTGTTCTGGCGAAGTTTTTTGTGACCGTTATTACCAGATCTGTAAAGATCTGTTTGTTGTTCTGACAGAATGCTTTCTTGCCGTTATTATCAGAGATGTAAAGGTCTGTTTGTTGTTCTGATAGAGTACTTTGTTGTCGATATTATGACCTTTACAGGTCTGTTTCTTGTTCTAACAGATTACTTTGTTGTCGATATTACCAGACCTGTAAAGGTCTGTTTGTTGTTCTGATAGAGTACTTTGTTTCCGTTATTATCAAACCTGTAAAAGTCTGTTTGTTGTTCTGACAGAATACTTAGGCAGTTGTCGTTATTAGCAGAACTTTTACAGATTAAACTTCATGTTAATCACAACCATATATCATATGTTACAGCAAGGTATAAACAAGTAATCTCACATACGCTCTTCCTATACCTTTCGTTGATCAAATACAGATATACATCTGTTTTTGTGTGTGTCTCCCAGTGGTAAGTCTTCGGATTTACAGCGCTAAAATTAGTGGTTCGATTCCCCTCGGTGGACACAGCCGATAGCCCGATGTGGTTTTGCTATAAAGACATACACACACAAGGTTTCTGCGTGAATATCAATATTTGGTACATGCTTAACTTGCTGTTTTGCATCTATCCTAAGATCCCATGACCACGAGTAAAAGCAAAGGAGAATATAAAATATCAAGGAAAATATAAGATATCAACAACACTAACATCTGCCATATCCAGTGCCGACGAGACCTTTCGCGCAGTACTAAGGCTCATCAGGCTGGCTGGGATACGACAAGCATTTTAGTGGTCTAGTCGCTAGAAGTATTATTAATTTTCATGAACAACAAGTGTTATGGTGTGAACCAGATTAAGCAAATGAATTGTAATTATTGTTAGAGCTTTAATGGTCTGTCTGCTATGTTTTATTTAAGTCATCGACGAATCATATTGTTACTGTAATTATTCAGCACATTTTAAATTTTAACACCTGTTACTTATTTATTTGATTATAATAATTATTTATTTTTAATTAACTTTACTTCACAAAAACTAGAGAAAAAACAAGCTAGTGTATTACTGAATAATTTCAGTCTTTTTGATAAAAATATGCATGTACACATATACATATTGTTTTAACACTTGCACAATAATTTATATGATCTGGCATAGCCAGGTGGTTAGGGCGCTTGACTCGTAATCTGAAAATCACGGGTTCGAATCCCCGTCCCACCAAACATACTCGTCATTTCAGCCGTTATGATGTGACGGTCAATCCCACTATTCGTTGGTAAAAGAGTAGCCCAAAATTTGACGGTAGATGGTGATGACTAGCTGTTTTCCCTTTATCCTGTCACTTCAAAATTAGGATTTGCTTCTTTGTAGTTAAGCGCAAAACTACTCAATGGGCTATCTATACTGTTAGCATTATAAGTCCGCAAACATGCCGCTGAGCCACGAGGGAGCTCAGTATTAGGGACGGCTAGCGCAGCTAGCCCTCGAGTAGCTTTGCGCGAAACTCAAAAAATCTAATCCAATATGTCTCCCTCCCCACGAAGGAGACATAATAATTCTCGCTGTATTGAATACGTAACAACGCGATTTCTTCTTCAATGTACACTTACAATCGTTTTATAGATTATATATATATGGTTGTTTTTCTAGTTGTGTGCAAGCGAATCGACTTTGTTTTACTGGAGCTTCGAGCTCCCCTGGTGATCTTAAAATAAAATAACTCTAAAGAAAGTGCACTGTAAATGATTATTATATATATAACAAAAAAATCACTTACAACAATCATTTGGATACGTTTCAACGTGGAAAGAATAAACTCTTAGCAAATAATTCATTGTTGCTGTTTTTTGTTTTTTTTGTCTTCTTTATATATATTTTAATAATCGTTCAGTCTGGAAAGCATATTTTGCATACTGTTCACTACATAAGACATTCTTATACGCTTCCACAACTTTATCTTTGTGACATTAATATACAATTTTCATCTTGTTAAAGTAATTTTTTGCGTTCCAGTTAATCTAAGTTATCAAAAACAATATTCCGCTTCTATAACACCAAGGCCTAAATTTGATATTTTAGGACTTGAATCGAATACTTTTAGCTTCACAAAAGTCTCTGAATGTTAAATTTTTTACAGAAAAAAACATAATAATTTTTTAATGTATTTTACCCTTGCCAACAGCAAACGTTGTAAGATCATATGAGCAGAAACTGGGTGGAGGCGTTCGAAACGATCGAAACGGAAAGCTAAAGAGTACTCTCGAGGGAGTCGTAGTTTTATAGGTGTATGAAAATCACCATGGAAACAGTTAAGAGGGCCTTACAAAAGTCTCCTAGAATATAATGAAAGTCTTAACCTTAATCGGAGAAACTGCTTTAAATATCGCCTTGCATTTCGGGACATGCATTTCTACTGTTTATCGTATGGAGTAGATCGATTTTCGTTTTTCGTTAGGAGAAACTGTATAACGAAAAGTTTTAGTCTCGCTTATTTTATAACAAATTTATAGATTGAACAAAATGTTAAATTCCATATTTGGATGTGTAACTAAGACTATTAAAAGACAAGCAAACATCACGTTTTCAACCAACTTTTTAAACATACATCATATTCTGATCACAGAATTGTCTTTTTTTTTACCCCCTCTACACCCCAAAAAAAAAACTGCCTGAAGATTTTTAAAGCTTCAGAAACAACTCAATAGCCGACACTACAGTATAGTTAACTGTGACGCCGTTGATTGTCTTTGCTCATATACAGCGTAATAATGGCTGGAGACGGCTTGAATGGGTAATGAAGAAAAA